AAATTCAGTAGCATAGTAGGATACAAAGTCAATACCCAAAAGTCAATAGCATTCCTCTACACAGATAACAAACACACTGAGAGGGAAATTATAGAAACAATACCTTTTACAGTAACAACAGGGAAAATGAAATACCTTGGAATTCATCTAACTAAAGAAGTTAATGATCTTTTCAAGGAAAATTACAGTACTCTTAAAAAAGAAATCGTAGAGGATTACAGAAAATGAAACGATATTCCATGCTACTGGATAGGAAGAACCAACATTGTTAAGGTAGTCATACTCCCAAAATTACTGTATAGATTTAATGCAATCCCTATCAAACTACCACCAGTATACCTCACAGAGTGAGGAAAATCAACACTAAAATTTATTTGGAAACAGAAAAGACCCAGAATAGCAAAGGCAGTCCTGGGCAATAAAGACAAAGCAGGAGACATTATATTTCCTGACTTGAAATTATACTACAATGCTACAGTGATAAAATCAGCATGGTACTGGCAACAAAATAGACCTGAGGATCGATGGAATAGATAAGAAGACACTGAAGCCCCTATGAACACCCTCAGCTACCTTATCTTTGAAAAAGTGGCCAAACATACTCACTGGAAGAAAGATAGCCTCTTTAACATATGGCTCTGGAAAAACTGGCTCTCTACATGCCAAAAACTAAAACTTGACCCAGGTCTATCACCATGCACTAAGCTAAAGTCAAAATGAACTAATGATCTAAACACTAAAACAGAGACACTAAATCTCCTGGAAGAGAAAGTAGGAGGAATTCTTAAAAACAGAGGGGTAGGCAAAGAGTTCATAAGCAAAAATGTATTCGCACGGGAAACAGGTGAAGGAATTAACAACTTGGACCTGCTCTTACTGAGAAGGTTTTTTTACATCAAAAGAAATTACCAACAAAGTGAAAAGACAACCCACAAATTTTGAAAAAATCATGACAGATAAGTACTCAGACAAAGGTCTGCTCTCTAGAATTTATAAAGAACTAAAAAAACACTAGGGCCCCAAAATTTAAAGACCCAGTACAGATATGGGTATCTGAGATGAACACACACTTCTCAGAGGATGAAATTAAAGAAGCAAATAAATATATGTAAAAATGCTCCACATCACTAGCTATCCGGACATGCAAATTAAAACAACATTGAGACATCATCTCAACCCAGAAAGAATGTGTATCATAAAGAAATAACCCAACAACAAATGTTGGAGAGGCTGTGGGGAAAAAGGAACCCTTCTCTACTGCTAGTGGGAATGTAGACTGGTGCAACCATTATGGAAATCAGTGTGGAGACTCCTTAGAAATCTTGGACTGGAAATCCCATTAAAGCCAGCTATTCCTCTACTGGGAATTTTCCTGGAGGATCTGAAAACATTATATCATAGTGATATATGCTTGCCTACATTTATAGCAGCATAATTTATTATAGGCAAATCTTGGAAACAAACAAGATGCCCATCACCTGAGGAATGGATGAAAAAGATGTGGTATTTTAGCACAATGTAGTATTGCTCAGCTATAAAGAATGATAAACTCGAAGCCTTTATATTGAAGTGGATGCCACTTGAAGATATACTGATAAGTGAAACAAACCAGACACACATGTGTAAATAACATACATTTTCCCTAGTATAAGAACTGAATAGAAAAAATACAAATGGATAGTTATTGCACAAGTAAAAGGAAAGCACGAACTCAAGGACTAACTAATTATGGGAGGGAAAGAAGAAGAGCTATGAAACATGACAGTGACAAGCCATACAGTTATAAGTAGAAGATTGGCAAGGCAATGATCCTGAGAATCTTGAGAAGATTTTT